GAGTCCAGCCCGGGGTCGTCACATGTGGTTGCCGCAAGCCCGCCGGCCGCTCCTTCGTCAAATCCGCCAGCCGCGCCACTCTCAAGCCCGCCCGCCGCCGCTCACTCAAGCCCTCAACCGCTCACTCTAGGCCACCGGCCTCCACTCACTCAAGCCCGCCATGTGTGACGCCGTGTGTTTCGTTGTGAAAGCGAAACTACTTTGTTTGGTCTTCCAAAAGAGGACACGACTAGAAATCAGTGGTTAAGTTGTATTTACAACACTGTTCCAGAACAGTTCAACCCAAATATTCAGATGTGTGCAGCACATTTTATGGAGGACTGTTTCCTGATCCTGGTAAATATGGATAGACTACAATGCCGGCTGTTCTGACTCACAGACTGTAAGTACGTTTTTTATATTTAAAGGATTTGCCACTTGTGATTCAAACGCGAGTTTTGAGCAGTGAAGAGTAGCGCTTGTTGTTTGTAATTTCTCCGATCACAAATGCAGATATGGTTTTATGTTTACGCGGCGCGATGCAACGCGTAAAAAGACAGTATAAGTCATTATAATCCGTAATTATGTCCCCCACTGGATGCAACAAATGTTTATAATGAGTTTTAATGTTTTTGTCTCGTCGCTCCGGCCTGACAGGGCATCACAGTATGGTAAGGCCGTAACATTTCCGTTACACGCTTGAGGTATTTGGCCAGTCACAATGCACTGGATAGTTGGCCAATCACAGCACACCTCGCTTTTCAGACCGATGAGCTTTGTAAAAATCGACGCATTTCAGAAAGGTGGGGCATAGAGGAGAAACAATAATGTACAGTATGTGGAAAATAATGTGTTTTTTTAACCTTAAACCGCATAAACCCATTTCATTACACCAAATACACAAAATAATGTTCTTTTTAGCAACATCATATGACCCCTTTAAGGCATTTGTAAATCTGTAGTCTTGGTTGGTGGTCCAGAAAGAGGTTTCAGGTTTCTGGCTGAGATACCACCATTCAGCTAGCACTTATTAAAGCAGTGGGAGTTATTTCCCAGTTTGATTTCATTTCATGCAGAGTAATAATGTGTCATTTGACCACTGAGGTAGAGCAATGAGTTGATAAAGGGCATGAACATTAAGAGTGTAGCGCCTAAAAGTGGTTGGACTCGAGCCCACAGTACATTTGTCACAGCAGAAGAGTGGTGCCGGGTGAATTTGTCATGCACCTCATCTGTTTTACTTTTAAATACTTTAGTGGAGTGTTAGGTTCATTTAACTGAATATAGATGATTTAAGAGGTTTACTCTATACTTTGGGCTTAGGGTTAAAGTTAGGGTTAGAATGTCTATTTTAAGCCTGACTGGATTAAAACTGTTCACAAGGTGATAATGAATGGAAGAAATGTAGTGGCTGTAGTATATAATCTGACATGTTGAATGTTTATTTGGTCTAGAGCACATATTAGCCACACCAAACTGAAAACTATTGCTGCATCTGAAATCGTATACTGTCTAGTAGATTATATATATGGATTGAAACTTGCTTTGAGACCATTGAAAAAGTATGTTCTACCAATGTCAGTTGCATTGTTTCACTATCATTCACAAATCCAAATTTATCAAAATTGCAATTTGTTTGTGTGAGCAGAATTTCAGTCTGATAGTACACAGAAATTATACAGCCTGCATCTACAGAACTGAAATGCTGGTGTTTCTGTTGTAACTTGTAGAGTCGTTGATCTATTTCATTTAATGCAGGCTCATTTCTTGGCTTGATGGTTGTAAGGTGGGAACGAGTGAGGAAGTGTGGTGAAGGAATCCAGCAGCGGAAGACCTGCGTCAGCGAAAGAGTGTAGGGCTGGTGGGTTGCGGGGTCCATATAGGAGTGTGCACCCTCTCACGGGATACATTGAATCCCAGCCAGTGTTGGGCAGTAACGCGTTACTGTAATTTGATTACTTTTTTAGTAACGGAGTAATTTAACCCGTTATAATTTTCAAAATAGTAATTAGAGTATAGTTACAAGCCAAGGTCTCTATACGTTACTGCCGCGTTACATTGCTGACAGAATGCAGTGTTTTATAATCTAGAGATTGTAAAAAGGATGTAGCACACGCATTGTTGAGTCAAGTGGCAGTGGATTAGAGACCTGCTTCCACGAGACCCGACGCGACAGAGCGCAGCGCGGGACAAGATGGGTGAGTGCTGCTGCGGGCGGATAGACACTTGGAGTGATGCAGGAGAATAAAATTATTCACGGGACTCCCGCAAAATAGAAGTATCTAAACAAAATATCTAAAACAAATAAATTGTTATTCATCTATTGCACAAAAGCAACATGAACTAATATATAAAGATTAACAGGTGCAAGCGTATGCAGAGTTTCTATTTAGGCTATAACATGTGTTTGCAGCATTGAGCAATGCAGTGCTGAAATTTGCGTGCTCACGAATCCTCTCATTATAACACATGAATTGTAGACATTATTCACGAAAGATTCATTATGCATATATTTATTGTTATAACTGAACTGAGATATCTTTTAAAGATTATAAATGCAGTGCTCTTTGCTGGCATTCTGCCATCCAAACCATGCACGCAGCAGCCACTTGCTTTAGTTAAAAATAACAGTGTTCTGTGAATGTTGATGCTTTAATAACAAATATTTATAGGGAGCGTGTATGCTAGGATTTCATAAATTTCATGGAGAAAAAAGTAACGTAACTAGTAATGTAACTAATTACTAATTACTTTTGAAAGAAAGTAATCAGAACAGTAACGTGATTACTTTTAAAAGGAGTAATCAGTCATTTGATTACATTTTCAGAGTAACTTGCCCAATACTGATCCCAGCACACCCCTTTTCGCTGAGCCAGTGCAGTCGTGGAGACAAAGTCTTGGAAACTATTCTAGCTCCTTCACACTGTGGCAAAATCAGACAATCAAAGCTGTCTGTTTGGATCAGTTTGATTTGAGCACATTTTCACTATTAAAGTTGATTATTTTTCCCTTCACTCAAAATATCAAAGTGCTGCCAGATATTTGCAAAAGTTACTCTTTATCCCAGTGGAACGTTTTATAAGCCATTGACATGGAAATTTGCTTAATCAAAATAAAATCTGATGAGGTATAATGGTATAGGATGTTGTTTTCATACTGCAAATGAGACCTTCTCTTAATCAGTATTTTTGTATCAGACTATATATATATATATATATATATATATATATATATATATGTGTGTGTGTGTGTACATACATACATACATGTGTGTAGTTTTCTAATTTTTCTATTTTAACTTTTTTTTTTCTTTTATAGAGAACATTCATCTTGAGAACAGTTTATCTTTCAGGGTATAATGCTTGTTTGTTTGTATTTGTTTAGGCATAAATCTAACTAAATTTAGTGAGGTTTATGTTTTAAAAAAAATTAAATTTCAGTTAGAAAATGTACAGCTTTTTTTCTGAGAACGTGACCTAGCTTGTTTCTCTAGAAAATTACTAATTAAAAAAAGAGTTTTTGCAGTGTGTGGCACATATTGTTTATGTATTGTAGTGAAGATGCATTTGATTTAGAATATGTTTGAGTCAGAGCAAGTGTTTTTCATTTGACTCAGGTTTATTATTACTAGAGGAGAATGTTTTCAGTGTACTTGTTTAATGCCCCCCCCCCCCCCCCCCGCCCTTCCTCCCGCTGCTTGTTTTGTTG